GGGTGAGGGGGTGCACACTGTGGGGTGGGCAGAGTTGCAGTGGTGGTGCTAGGGGAGGCATCTAGCCCTGCAGTGCAGCTCCCCCACTGGGAAGGGGCTTGTACTCCCTGACACTATGATGGGCTGCTGCCCCCATCAAGGGCCCTGTCCCCTCATTAGGGCCCTTATTCCACCAGTTGTCCTGCGCAAGGAGTGAGCAGTGGTGGTCAGGACTGGCAGACCTGGCTGCGGTTCTCCAGTGACAGTGGGGAAGAGAAAGGAATAATCCCTCTGTCTCAGGGGCCCTACCAGCCCACCACTGGAGCAGCAGTGGGGGAGGGCCTGGCAGAACCAGCTTGAGTCCTTGTCAGTGGGACAGGGAGGGAGGAATTAATCCCTTCTCTTGCCAGACCCCATGCCCTGCTTGTTTCTGCTGGGCTGAGGAGCAGACAGGCAGGGTCAGGCCTGCTCCACTGGAGCAGAGAGCCCAGCCCAGAGAGCATGCCTGGATGCTGGGGGACTCTGGTTTAAGTTGAACCAGGAAGGGGTCTGGGACAGATATTACATGAACCAGCTAGGCAGTTTCAGCCATTCTGAAACTGGTTTATGTGCATCTGAACATCTGTTCTGTTTTAGGTTTAAACCAGTTTCTGATCACTTAAACCAGTTTATGTGTAATTTCTGTCCCTAACCAAGAAGGCTACCTTCATACTAGGCTGCATTAGTAGGAGCATTGCCAGCAGATTAAAGTTAGTAACTATTTCCTTCTATTCTGTACTGGTGAGGCTACGTCAGTACTGTGTCCAGTTTGGGCCCCCTGCTACAGAAAGGTTGTGGACAAGTTGGATAGAGTCCAACAGAGGACAGTGAAAATGGTGAGGGGGCTGAGGTATGACTTATGAGGAGAGGCTGAGGGAACTGGGCTTATTTATTCTGCAGACTAGAAGACTGAGGGGGATTTAATAGCAGCCTCTAACTACGTGAAGGTTGGTTCAAAAGAGGGATGGAGCTAAACTGAAATAAAATTAATATGAGAGATCCTGCTTTACCATCATTCCACTAACTTGCTTGGTTAGCCTCATTAGACTCAAGGCATCTCTTGGAAGATGCCAGCTCTTATTTCTCATTTTTTTACTATGGAAATAGAGCAATTGTTGTGTTGCAGAGAGCTTAGACTAGGACAGATCAGCATGCTTTTGACACTATGTACTCCTCTTTGAAATCTCTTTAACTTGTTAATCATGCATGGGTGTTTGCATACCTAACAGTGCTGATATTGCCCAGCACTGCAGCACCTTTGAAATGAATTCCTGGCATCCCAGGGTACCACAACACACTGGTTGAGGATTTCTGCCCTAACTGCACATAAATTCAAGGTAGTGTAATATTTGCCCATGAGAAGAAAGCTAAAAACGTAGCTTCCACAAATTTTGTTTAAAAAAAATTAATCTAAAACTAATAACTCCTTTAGAATATGTACAGTGGCTTGCATTTACGTATCTACAATTCTTTCTCTTGCTTTTGCTTTTTCATAGAAGTATCTATAGCTGTTATGTTCTTTCTCTTAAAAACAAATGACTTTTGTACAAATTTCTCAGAATTGTTGGATACTGACATTAACATTTTTAAGTTGTATCAGTTCTAATAATGAAATACTTTTTTTTCTCACTAGTACTATTTTAGGTTCAACACTGGGAAATATATAGTAAATTTCAACATTTGTAATTAATTTTGCTCCAGGTTTGTGCCTAAGATGGTTTAGAAATTGTATCTATGCTTCATATAGTTCTGGAAAATGCCCAGAATCATTGTTTCTGTGGTGCATATGTTTGCATCTATTAAGTTTTCTGTGGATGGGAAGTAAAATATGGCAAAATGTCTCTCCTGGCTACACAATATTAAGCCTTTTTAAATTAAGAATATAAGAAAGTTTACTTAAACCAATGTTCTACAGACGAAATATATTTCCAGGTAGAACAACAGGAATAAAATGATGTGCAACTCAGGTAACCATTTTTAAACACAGGTGCTCTGAGGCTTAGAGCTTTTGAACAGCTACAACTTCTATTTGTCCTTTAATTAAGCCATTTTTCTTGGGGTTTCTTATGCAGGTATTATGCAGAAAAAGTAAATACTTAATTGATCTGTTCCCAATTGCAAATTTTTATTTCCACAGAAAAAATGAAACATCTCAATCTATCATTTGCAGCTTGTGGGTTTCTGGGTATATACCACTTGGGGGCAGCAGCTGCTTTTTACAGGCATGGTGAGAAGTTACTGAAGGTTGTGAAGGCTTTTGCAGGAGCTTCTGCAGGATCACTGGCTGCCACAGTTCTGTTAACAGCACCGGAAAAAATAGAGGTAACTGATAGATTTAGGACATCTTTATATTTACTGGTACCTTTCAGTTTTCTTGTAGGAGCAGTTTTTAAAACCCTTTGCTTTCCTTAACAAATGTGTGCATGTGTATTCTGTATGCAACTTGTGAAACGTTTACAGCAAAATATGCACTTGCTTGAATGTAATACTGTTTAAAGTTGTGTATGAATGGATGTTTGTTGAAGTCTGTAACGATATAACTATACCTTAAACATGTGTACGTGCTCCCTTCTAGTTGAGAGTTTATGAGGATAGAAAAGATATGGACACTTGATTTTTTTTTTTTTTTTTTTTTATGATAACTTAGTTTGCTTTAAAAAGGAGTAGTCACTTTTTTTTTTCTTAAGGCTAATTGCTGTTACTAAATATTGTAAGTATATATTCCCACTTGTTTTTAAAGAGGAGGTACAAGGAATATAAACCATACCAGTCAAATAAGGGAAGGAACATGTACATCTGTAAGCATTGATAATACCCTCTTTTCCAAGCTGTAGGACTCAGAGCTATTATCTCTAATGTATCTGATTAGCAGGGATCCTGTTTTTTCCTGATTTAAAAAAAAAATCCCCAATTTTCAGATATAAAAAGTAACCCAAAATCCACATTTTTTCCATGATTAAAATGAAACACCACTTTATATATATAAGTGGCATTTTATTTTAATCATGGAAAAATGTGGATTTTAGGTTACCTTTTATATCTGAAAATTGGATCACTGCTGATTAAAGAATCAGACAGCAGAGTTGTGTGGTGCTGTACCTCCTTCATGTTCCATGCATGTCTTATCCCCAGATACACTCGTGGTTTAGACTTGGATTAGAAACATAAACAACTGGTACAGGAAACAGTACAGCTGCCTTTCCCAGCTTTTCCCTGGTAAAAATTCCTCTCCTCAGAAGCAGTTCTTCACCACCCGCTTGGCTTGTTTAGAACCACTTTACACTTCCTTCTGTGGCCCAAAGTTGACCTAGTAAACAAAGGGCATTGAACATACTAATGTAAATATGATACTAAACATTTGGCAAAATTATACCAGATTTATGTATTATGGCATACATAAGGGCCCAGGAGGTCCTTCTAATTGTGTTCCTAAATAATCTTTCACTGGGGTGCATTTCTTTAAGTGATTTAAAATTTCTTGTGTTTTAGTATTCATTTTAGTAATCTGATAAAAATTAAAGACCCTGTAATGGTTCATAATTTGCCTAAAGTGATTTTTTTTCTATGTTAAAACAAAGTTAAGTTCAGCTAAATAAAAGGTCAAATGGGTTATTTTATTGAATTGGAGGGAGGGAGATGATGCTCATGGTAAGCATGCTATACAGGTCACTTTTCCTCTTAGAGGCTTAATCCAAAAATTTTTAGGCTTTGGGTACATTTTTTGAGTCCTATATTTGAATCTGACTAGTTTTTCAGGTTAGAATAGAAGCCAAACAAATACTTTGACATTTGCAGTTTGTAAAGGGATTTCATTCCTCATGAATTTTTTAAACTTCACAGAAGCATCTGGCTTCTTGCTTTCTACTACATACGTTAGCTCACTAGCTTTTACCAACCCAGGGTAGCATTTCTGCTTCCCCTGATTTTTTTGGAAATGGTTGGTTGGTTGTTTTTTGTTTGTTTGTTTCTTCCAGTCCTATTTTTATAAGGACTTTTCCACATAATGCAGTTTTGGTTTTTACTCTTCTGTTCAAGTATGGTGCACATTACAATAAGTCTGACTTCTGATTCATGACATCTTGAAAACAAAGAGATCATTATGTAAACTAGGGCAAGGGGGGGCAACCTGGAGCATGCATGCCACAAGTGGCATACGCAGTATTTTTGTGTGGTGCACTGCAGATCAGGGAGGAGGCAGGCAGCACAACAGCAGATAGGACATGGGGAAGGAAGTCGAACAGTGGATCAGGCAAGGGAAGGAGATTTGGAGTGGCACTTGGGGAGGGCATGGGGCTTAATTTGTGGCATGCCTGACAAAAAAGGTCGGTCTTGCTTAACTAGTTGAACTTTCTTCATTCCTTTTTCTTAATTAACCTTTTAGACATTCTGTTTCAGTTGCACAGAAAATTATGGGAGCTCTCCAAGGAACAAAATTCTTCATTCCCATGGATGTCAACCAAAAATACATTTTATCCACTAGGATAGATTATTTCATTGAATTATTAAAATGATGTTGAAATTTCTATTAACCTTTTTGTTCTTAACACTACAAAAAAAAGTGTGTGTGTGGGGGGGGCGGGGGGGAGGTTGAAGGAAGGCTCTTTGAACAAAGAATGTTCTAAACTACTGGTGCCCAACTTTTTTATGGGCCAGATGAGCAGTGCCAGGTCCATCTCTGGGCTGGATCCAGCCAGAGGGCTTAATCCAGTAGCCGCGGCTGGTGCAGTGGGAGCTGGACCAGGCTACAGGAGGGGGAGGGAACAGGTGGCCTAGCACAGAGGGAAGGAAGAAGGAAACCTGTATGGCTTTGTGACTCTAAAGAGTGAGGCTGAGAGTAAAGAAAGCTGTAATTGCATAACTTTTTAGTATGAGATTTTTCAAATAGCATTTTCAGAAGACTTGGGATCCTGAGTTTTTGCTGAAAGTGGAACTTAGAGGTCTTGGAGCCAGATTTTACAAAGGTACTCAGACATGTAAAGGTGCCAGTAGGCGCTTAGATATTTTACAAAAACAAAACAAAAAAGTGGATTGAGCACTTAACCCTTCTTCATTTCTTTAGCTACTCTTGAAACATTTTCTACATTTTGCCCAAGTCGTTTAAAAAAAGGAACTTTAAGCTTCCAAGCCATGAAGGAACTTTTGAACATTTTAATTGATATCTTGTTAGTGTGACTCTAAGTTGTTGAGAGAGAAAACTATCTATTTTGGAGGCAAAACTGATATATTCGTCTTATGAATAGACTATGCCATGTAGCAAAGGAGTTCACAGTAATTAATAAACTTGCATACACACTTGAAAGGAACAGGATTTGGAATTGGCAGTGGGTCTTTAGGGCCCAAATTCAACTTCAGCCTGCATTCCTGGTTTCCATCTAATGATGGTTTGAACCACAGCCAAAATAATTAGTTTCAGTTAAAATATAGTTAATTTATCAGTGGCACAAAAACATTTGCCTCATTTGGCTTGAATTGATAGCTTTGTTTGCAATCTATACAATGTGCACATGTAGACTGAAGTGCCTGCTCTCGCTTAACTAGTAAATGATTGCACTGAGTGAAGTTTAAAACATGAGTGGAACAGACTACCAGTGCCCCAAAAATTCAAACAAATGCTACTGTGGATAGGATACTTCTCTTTTCAGGGCTTAGAATCTTTTGCCACTTCTGAGAATTAACTTTATTTTCATTAATAAAAAAATGAACAAACTTTGTAACCCAGTGACTGGTTTGCTCCCAACACATTTAATATTTAATCATGCAGGAAGTCAATAATCAAGAAATATTGAACTATTTCTAGATGTATGACCTAAACATTTAAAAGAATTCAAATTCAGTGTCTCTTAAATCAGTTTTATGAAAGTGTAAAACTGAACTGTAAGTACTTCAAATCATTGAAATAAATGTAGATCTCTTCACAAATTTCTATGAAGATATAGGTATGAATACAGCATTTCTAACATTTATTCAGAGTCATGAGTTGGAACTTCAAAAAACACTATAAGGACTAATAAATGATGGGTTCCTTTTATTTGCCTTCTGGTTTTTGATACTTCAGGTTTTACATGATCAAGCTTTTCTCTGTAACCAGGAAGACTAAAAAGAAAAAAACTGCAAACTTAGATTGTAATGGAATGGAATCTTAAAATATTAAGTAACACAAGGTTTGGAATGAAATTGAGACTTAACAATCTTGTGAATACTTGCAAGTAAATGTAACTTTTGTTAAGTGATCACAAAAAATACCTTTCCCATACACAAAGTAATTGCATTCAGCTGCCTTAGGGATCTGGTCCTTAGTATTTGCATAGTTGAAATTTAAATTATTCAAGTGTTTTTTTTAAAGTATGATTGTTGCGGAAACCTGAAGGGTAGGTAGGATAGGCTCTGATTAGCCTTTTGTGGGTCACATACAATATAACCTTTTATACACTGCTGTAAATCTCTCTTATCCACATTCAAATATACCTGTACTGCTTATCGTCTTTAGTAAGAGCATATATTTTTAGTTATGTGCTTTTTATTAGCGAGGAAAGAATCTTTAAATTTTTCTTTTATACCTGCTGATTTTACTTTGTATATTTGATTTATATAGTATGTGTGTGTTTAAAGTTTGTCACATCCATATTTAGCATTTAATTTGTACTTAGGATAAGAGAACACTATTTGCTTGAAATCAGATCTAAAAGCTAACTTTTACAGCATCAAGTTTTGATTACTTCTAAATTCACGGTGTAACAGGTGGCATTCATAGAACAATAGGCTTCAAATTCTCATAGTTCCTAATAAGCAAAATACCTGTGGGATTTCTTCACTTTAAATGGGAACGAGTTATACCTACATAAATTCCTGTTTAAACAGTTCCCATATAATAAACACAAGGTGAGTTGCAGTTCTGTGGAGAAATAACTCGTTAATCTTAAGCACATCTGCTTTGTTGATAATGGCACATAAGCAAATGTTGACTTCATCTGTTGCCTTTTAACTCTTTTAAAATAAAATATTTTTTAACCATTAATTTGTTATCTAAATGTTAGTTGCTTTAATCCATAACTTTCTAACTTTTGGTGTAATGTAGTTGCATGTGCCTTTCACAACTACAGTATTTTTAATATCAAACACTTTAATTTTCAGGATTGTAAGGAATTTACCTATAATTTTGCAGAAGAAACTAGAAAATTGGACTTTGGTGCAGTAACGCCAGGTTATGATTTCATGAAAAGACTTAGGTACCTATCTTAATGTTTTTTTCTTAAGTTTTACTTTAATGTTTAATTTAATGAATGAAAATAGAGAGTATGGAAAGCTTTTTGTGCCATGGATATCTCAGCATTCTTTCCTTCTCCCCTCAAATATTTATAAGCTAGTTAATAATTAATGATGAATAATGTTTATCATTTTCTTTACTTTAGGGGAGGTATAGAGTCTATTCTTCCTTGTGATGCTCATGAGATAGCTGGGAATCGTCTCTATGTATCAGTCACCAACACTAAAAATGGAGAAAATTACTTGGTTTCAAATTTTGCCTCTAGGGAGGATCTCATTAAGGTAACAAAGCTGCCCAGCATATCTGTAAATGAAAATATATGACTGTCTCCAAAGCCTAGGGTGTATTTTATTAACTCTGCTAAATCCTATGCTTACTCCCTCAAGTAATCCCATTGACTCTGCTGGAACTGCCTACATAAATAAGGCAAGCAAATTTTTGCCTTTCCTTTCCACAAACTCTGCTAAAAAGGATTCCTTAAATGTATACATTGCCCTACGCTTCTTCCACAATGCTTCTTTATCACTTTCTGTTTTTTAGAAGAGCACTGTAAAACCATAAAATGCAATAACCAGTGGTTTTGGTAGATCAAAATAGTAACCTTGTTTACCAGATTTGCTCACTGTTTATATGTTTTGATATTGTATTTTATCCTTTTTACAATAAGCAGTAAAGGAAGAGACTGAAGGATCGATTTAAAGTACATAAGCATATATCCATCTAAATAACACTTGATCTATATATTTCATTCAGATACTAAGCCTTTGCATAGTGTGGTGATAAGCATAATACACTTGTGTAGAAGCCTATAAAGCCCTAAATGATCCTGGTCTTGTATACATAAAGGACTATGTCCTTCCTTATCTCCCATCAATTTTTTTAAGGTCAGCTAAAAGCAGTGATGTACCATCTATGCACCAGTTTTAAGAAAAACATGCAGAGTGGTGTTTTTGGTAGTTGCTCTTCAGCTCCAGAATTCCCTCTGTGAGGCTTGTCAGAGCTCCAGCCTTGGTGTTTTACAGGAGTGATGGAAAAACGTTCTGTTTGGGCGAGCCAGATTTAGTTTGGAGGCATTATTTGGAGGGTAGTTTTTTCATCATATTATCTTTTTAATACTCTTTCTGGTTTTTTTGCACACACGCCAGTTGCTCTTCAGAAATGATGGTAGTAGGGGGTGGGCAGGGATGGAGCGCTGCCACCCAGCACCCTGTGCCGCCACTGCCTCCCAGGAGCGGGGGTGGGGAGGCCTGCCCTGCCTTCCCTTTTCTTCCCCTCGGCCAGCACCCTGTGCTGCTGCCACCTCCAAGGAGAAGGGCCAGGGGGTGGGTGAGGCCAGCAGTGCTGGCTTGGCCCCGCTGCTCTATCCCCACCATCATGGCAGTGCACTGCCACCACTGCCTCGTGTCTAGAAAGCTCTTGGAGCACTCTGGCTGTTTCAATAACCAATCAGTGCTCCAAGAGTGTTATAGGTGAACAGACAGAAAGACTCTGTGTGTGTGTGTGTGTGTGTGTGTGTGTGTGTGTGTGTGTGTGTGTGTGTGTGTGGGTGTGTGTGTGTGTG